GTATTAGTGCATTGAGTTCATGAACTATTTGACTTCAATTCACACCTCCAGATAAAATCCAATTACAGAAAACCAGGGAGAACTACTATCTCGCAACGTCATTACTTACAACTCACGAATTCCATGAACATTAACAATCCTATAAACTATCGAACTTCATAAAAATAAGTAGAATCTAACCTAAAAATGCTCCAGTGAGCAAAAACCCAGATCTAAGAAAAAGAAAGAACGAAAGTTCACTACTTTTAAGTGCTGACTCAAACTACGGAAACCCACCATAAACAAGATGGCAAATGGGCAAAATGCAGCATTACCCTGATAACGAAATTGAAAAAAAAAAAAAAAGGTGGGAGACTGAATCTGTTACCTCTCCCAGAAAAATGATTGATATTTAGGTAGCTGAAGTCGACGAAGGAGGTAACTTGGAGGTGCAATGCGGGAGATTTTTCAGAAAGAAAGCTTGTTTCTTTTGGTGGAAAAAATGGAAAAGAGAGAAGAGATTCTGGGAGGGTGTATTACCCACAATTTGTGCAAAAGAAACGTGGGGGCAACTTTGGTCTTGCCATTATGCTATCGTCTTCTTCACATGTACAGTGGAATATACACAGGGAGAGAGAAAGAGAGAGTTTTGTACTAATTCCAAGGTAACATGTAGAAAAGGTTGAGTGGTGCCACCACTCACCAACATATTTTTCTTAGCTGTTTTTCCCTTTTTTCTTTCTCTTTATTATTCAAGAATGCTTTATTTTTTTAGTTGTTCTACAATCAGTACTATCATTTTCTTCCCCGTGAATATAAAAACTGCAACTTGAAGATTTCTCTTCTTAAAAGAATTCCCATTTAATTAACTGAAAGTATAAGAAAGAATCAATTAACAACCCTTTAAAGATATATATATATTGCTAAATATAGAAAAGTCAAAAAGAAAAAAATACAAGTGACGCGTATGAAATTTATGCAGTCAGCGCCTAAAATGAAAATGGGAAGTGTTGAATTAATATTTATGAGATCTCATTTTGGTGGTTTGCCAGCAAAGTCTTCAACTGCCATGTTGTTTGAGTGCTGGTGTCTCTCTTAAATTATTATTATTATTATTTTTTAATAATTAAATTGTGATTTTATTGTGTTGTATCTGCATATGGAGCTCCAGCTTGTTTTTGTATTTGTTTTATGAGAGAGCAATGACTGTATCTATATGTGTATCTGTGTGTGTTTATATGCATATATATATGTTTGCGTGTGTGTATATGTGTATTCTCTAAAGGCTAAAAAGACAAAAATAGGGATTAGTTGAGCTAATGATGAAAGGTCAAGCCTGAGTAAAAGTGCATTTTATTTGTTCATTCTAAGAGATACCCCAGGCCATTTATACAAATAAGGCCAAATTAATTTTAATATGTTTTCCTTAGCCAAATTAATTTTATTTCTTTAGAATTTGTTTAGTAATCTTCTAATGTTTTTTAATCAAAATGTTATAACTTTATACTACATGCCAGCATCTAAACTGCATATCAAATTAGTATTATTTATGGAGTTCATTTCAATGCAACCGTTAGTTGGAATATGATACTTCCCTGAATATGATAACTAATTTATAACTTTGATTATCTGTGTTTGGTTGCCCAGAAAAGAAAATTTCAGGATAAAATTATCTATTCCATGAAATTCATCTTTCTTCCAACAAGATCATTGTGAACGAAAATAACATTGATGATTCACTCAAGAATATACAACCTCGCCTACACTTCTACTCTTAGAATATCTATGATATGCTGCTGTTATTGTATTTGAAATAAAAAGTTTTTAAAGAAACATTCAGTGACAGTATTGACCAAACCAGCAGCATTTCCCTCCCCCACATCCTTCTTCCTCCTCTTCATAATCTCTGCTATGAATCCACCACAGGAGATTGGTAAGTGAGTTCCTGTCATCATACTCATTCAGCTTTCTTATCTTCTTCAGAGCACTTTCTTTGTCATATATCCCCTCCAAAGCATACACAAAACCTGTCCAACCTTCTCCAACTCCTTCTCTGTTCAATGCAGGCAATGTCCATTTCACAAGCTCCTTCACAAACCTAATATCAGAGAACAAAACCTCAGTTATTGGCAAAATGGGTAGCACCTGAATTCCAAGCCTGCACTCTCTCCAATCAGCAGGACCAAACCAAATTCCACTGTCTCTTTTGTTACCCCACAAAACACCCACTACCCTATTTTCTCTACTGAAATCTTCCGGATATAAACCTTCCTCTCTCACATGCCACCATGTTTGAGCAGCCTGAATCTCCATTGCTGCAAGCATTGATCCAGTGGCAACAAGTTGTGTGTCTCCATAAGCTAATCCCATCAAAGCTGCTGAATAATATGCATTCACTGCCTCACTAGTGCTTTCTTGGTTCCGCCCATCTGCAAACTCAGTTAGCCCTGAAGCCCAAGAGTGCAGTTTATACAAATCAAAGCACCTCAACCGCGGATAATTCGAATTTGACTGCCTTCCCAGGTTCATAAAATCTGCCATAAATGTGTAAGCATGACGCCTATACCTCCTCCCCCATGCTGGGTCAATCTTAGCAAGAACTGCAATGGCATAAAGGAAATAACCCAGATGGTAATGATGATCATTATACACTCCAAATCCAAAATCTGCACCAGAATCTAATGATCCTTGTTTGGTGATAATTCCACCCCATTTTGGATCATACAGAAAACCATTCCCATCAAAACTTCCATCCAACCAGGGCTCAATTGCATCCCTCAGATACTTCCCTATTGCTGGAATCACATCAAGAAAGCACACCTCCTCCGCAATAAGTGCCAACCTTGCTGCTCTTGCAATCAATTTACCATAAAAATAAGATGAATTTGTGGTTATAGCCGAGGAATTTAAGGCCTGAACATCTTTGACAAGAGCACAAACAATTTCATTATATGCTGCTTCTTTTATCCCTCTCAAAGAATGCCAAGTCACAGAAACAGGAATGGATTTTAATATCCAGGAATCCCCAACAACACCAACTAAATCCCCGTCAATACTTTTGTATTTGAAATTCTCCAAAACTGTAATACCACGGTCGTCATCAGATAACATCTTCAGATGCAGCAGATGAGCAAGTATAAGCAAATCGCCCCATCCTTTCTTTTCCCAGCTGTACTGTAAACAAAATGGTTTGGTGAAAGCAGCTTCACCTGACGTCGGGTAACAAGAACTGCATCGATCAAGAATTGACTCGCAACCTGCATCAGAATCAGGCAACAAGGCAATCCGAAGCACACCCGAAAAGCCACATGAAGTTATCTGAAAATGTCCGTGACTCAAATTTATGGGGGAAGAAGAATAAATGAGCCATGTTTGATTGTTGCTCAGCTTAACGGTGCATTTGGTGAGTGAGTAGTTGGAAGAAAACGAGCGTATTGCATGGTTAGTAGAGATGGTAATCGGGGTATTCCCGGTGACAGAGCAGGTTAGAAATGGACTCCCTCGAACGAGAAAGAAGCGGAAATTGGAAGAGGGGAAATCCAAAGTGACACTGAGATCATTATAAGACGAGATTACATGGCTTCTCTGTGAATGTGGGTCGGTTTTATCAGAGGCCGAGATTGTAAGATCAGCGACAAAAACCTGGTAAATGTGAGCAGAATTGTGAAACTGAGATGGGTAAGAAAGCGAAAGAGAAGAGCCAGAGGATTTGACGAGATAAGGGTGTATGTATTCAGGTAGATTGCCATTTTTAAGAGTGAAGCTCTGGAAGAAAGAGTTGGTGGGGAGAGGAGAGAAGAGGAGATTTTGGGAGAAAAAGGTGGACGGATCAGGGAGGACCGTGGATTGGGTTCTGAGGGAAGGAAACGGAGATGGTCTCTGTTCATGTGAGGATTGACGGTTGTGTTCTCTCGGCGTTGACATTTTTGGGGGAGAAGAAGAAGATGAGGAGGAGGGAGATAATGTTTGAAGTTGCGGAGGGGGCGGTCTTCTGGGGTTTATTAAAGTTTATTGTGACGAGGACTTTGAATTTTCGTCTGAGCTTTTTCAACATTCACAAGGAAGAGGTTTGATTGTGTGGAAGGAAGGTAGGAGGAAATTAAGGAATTTCCCGTTCAATCTAACAACAACGATTGTCCTCATGTTTTCTTACTGTTTTTTTTTCCGGTTGTCAGCCAAACAGATTTTTAAGCCTGATGGAAGTGTCTGAAACTTGGAATAAATGGAGAAGATTGGGGAGAGAGATGAGAAAGAGATATGCAAGGATTTGGACTGAATCTTTAGTTGTTTAAACTGAGAAACGAGGGAAATAAAGAGAATCCAAGCATATATATTATATAAATGCGTATATGTATATATTAGATTTTGTTGAAAATTTAGATTGCATATGTTTGGTATTAGATATATAGTGAAATATATATATATATATATATATATTGCGCGTTATATTAAAGTCTTAAACATATGAAGGTTCATGCAGCTGGGAAACTTATGAATTTGATTTTTCTACATAAAATCCAAATTAATAGTTCGAAGAAGATATATTCTTCAAATAAAATTTTGTAAATTTTAATTCTTATATTATTTTCATAAATTTTTAATATTTGCTATTTACTCCCTTATTTTTATCATATTAAATTAATTTTAATTTAAACCTGGGCCCAAGTACCGGGCTCTCAGCCCAACCAAATCGGCCTTCTTCGCCGTTGTGCTTCCAAGTCTGTACCCATATTCGCTCCTCTGTTCAGAATCGGAAGCAGAAGATAGACATGGCAGGCTTGCTTGCGTGGGCAGCCGACGTAGTAGGAGGCCATGGCAAAGAACACGACGCCGATTCAATCCCATTGATATTCACTCCAGAGCAGCAAAAGTACGTGCAAGAACTGAATCAGAAGGCATCTTCTCTAAGCCTCTCGATCCAAGATCTACGGCTTAGATTATCTCCTCCTGACATCTCCCAGCGCCTTCCTCACCTACTCGCCCACTCTCTTGCCTCCAATGCCGCTCTTGCCCTCCAGCTAAACTCTCATTCCGCCACTCGTGAACAGGTTTTCTTTACACCTCTATTTTCGTTGTTCTTTTACCTAGTTCTTCTTTTTCTTCCCTTTCCCGGGTTTTGAATTCGTTGATGAATTCTCGTGTGAAGCATTTTTCGGTAGAAATCAGAGTCTCATTATTGTCCTAGATAAATTTAAGTTTACTCTTAATCCAAATTTACACACCAAAAAAAAAAAAAACAGTCAGGGGTTTTATTATGTTCTTTGGATTTCCTCTCTTATTAATCCTGGTATTGGAGCTTTTCATGTTAGTCTCTAGGATTGGTTGCAATTATCATAGAGAAATGCATGTGGGTGCTGTTATTGCGGATTGAAATTTTATCTCGTGTGTAGTTGGGATTTGATTTCTATTAGTCAATGGAAATGGATATAGGTGTTATGTTTCGACAAGTCTAGCAGTCATAATGGGCGTGGGTTCCGTTTTTATTATTGCAATTCATGCTGAACTGCATGGTGCTTTTCTCCGTTTCATGTGAAATTGAGCATGTTTCTGTCTTCCCAAGTTTATATGATTTAATCAAATTCCGAAAAGAAAAAATAAATGACTATGTAATTTAGTCCAAACAGGAAAGCTCATCACAAACGAATTATTTGTTGAATTCATTTGTAAATAAAATAAAATTTGTTTGAGATTTCCGTGCAGTACTCTGCGGTTGAAGAGTTTCTTTATGACCAAGGTTTATATCATCAACAGAAGTGATTTTGACAAATTTGGTATGGCAAGTTTATCATCATAGATGAAATCATTGATGTTGTCTATGAAAATTCAGAAAATTTATTTATACAAATAGAACTGGGTATATCTTGACACTCTTGATACTGGAGATCATTTTGAGTGTGGTCTTTCTGAGCTCAATCCTACATCATTAAAGAAGGGAGGGATGCTACTCGTGGTGGTGTATTTGTTTAGCAAACTAAGGATTTTTTTCCTTCAAAAGTTCAAAATACTTGGACAATCTTAATGTTTATAAATTTGTTTTACGGATATTATCTATTCGTAAAAACCTTTAGCATGGAGGAATGCAAATGAAAATAAGGTGCAGAGATGCTGAGATGACTAACATTAAACATAATTACCTGAAATGTTGTTCGTCCAGATCGTGGTACTGGTACAAGTGCAAAATTCTAGGGGTGGTTAATATAGGTAAAAGATGTTCTTCTTCAAGATTGTGGTACTGGTACAAGTATAAAATTCAAGATTGTGGAGGTCCAAAAGGGGATAGGCTTAGTTCATATATTATTTAGGTTCAGAGTTTGATTGGGCGACTTATTAGGTTCATGTATGCAGATCATGAGTAATAGTTTAGTAATATATGCTTGCCCTATTTTTATTCTTTTTCTATGTGAAAATATCTTCGACATAAATCCTTTTTATGGCTATAGCATATAACAATAATATTGATATTCATTTTACAAATTCCTAAAGGAATGGAGTAATAAATTGCAAGTTCTTAAGAAGATAATCGATACACTTTAAGTTCCAATAAAGAGAAACGTAGTTTAATGGCCTTCACTTTCACTTTTCGGAAGAAAGTTTTTTAGAACATAAAGTCTTCATTCTCTCCCGACTCTTTTTCTTTTTCTCTCCCTATCTTTGGAATCCCACTCCACCCAATTTCTAACTTGCTCTAATTCTTTTAATATCTGGTTTCCTAGTATTAAGGACTTTGATCAAAAACGAAATGAACCCAAGCAAACCTGTTCCAGGAAAAGTTTTGAAAAATTCCGTATGTAGATCACGGGTGGTTAAGTGGTCCAGAAGGCTGATGCATGAATGGGGATGTATATGTGCCAAGACAATGTATATTTCAAACTCTGAAATAGCATATAATAATCGATTGGACTTTGTTGCATCCATAGAATGTTCATTTTTGAGGTTTGTATTGGAGAAATGGATGAAAAGAGAAATTATCATTTAAATTAGAATGAATTCATCCTCTGAATTACATGCCACTTGGACGTATGTTTGGTATTTATAAAAGATCATTATTATTTTTATTTCCTTAACATTTGGCTTTAATTACTATGACCAGGCCCAATTAAGAGAGGAGACCTTGCAGGAAGAAAATGCTGTCTATGAAAAGGCTATATCAAATTGTGAGAGTAAAATACAGGAGAAAATGTTGGAAGCAGATTCACTTCGAACCAAGTTGAAGGTGAAGCTTAGGTTCTAGACTATTTCTCAATGCTAATGAAGTGTTGTTTTGGGAGCACATGGAAGGACTCATACCTGGAATATTTTACACTGTAGTCAATGGTTATTCATGACTATGGCCAAATTTTATTTTCAAACAGGCCTCTGCCTGAGTGATTTCCTGGTCTTGGAGCTTCATCCGAATTAATTTTTGCAAGTTGGCATTTTATCTAAGCAAGCCATAGTTAAATGGCTGTATCATGAAAATTTAGAATTATTGGCTTCTCTCAAATTTGTAATCAATATATAATTTTACAGGAACTGGATGCCATTGAGAAAACGTTGAGAGCTGACTTGGAAAATGGCCGGGCTGCAGTGAATGTCAATCAGCCTGGAAGTTCTGGTGAATTGGTTGTTGAATCCAATGCGAACATAACAGCTGGAGCAGATTCAGAAGCTTCACAGTCTGCTATACTAGATAAGTTAGAAAACAAAAAACAAGAACTGGTAAATTGCATTCACTTTCGGTTTCAAATTCTTTTTTCTCCTTTCTTATACTTAAGTTGTTTTACTATTATCCTTTTCAATGATGATGATCAAAATCTTTTGTCTCCCTTTCTTATTGTTTACGTTCAGTTATTGTTGCTGTCCTCCCTAATGATGATGATGTAATTTGTGGGTCTTTCAGAGTTACATTGAAGAGAGAGTTCAAGATTTAGAAAAAAAATGGGCAATTGTTCAGGACAAAGCGCTGAAGCATCCTTCGCCAGGTATCTTAATTAATTCAACTTTTAGAATGGTGTTTTGTCAGTGTCATCTCTTTCAGTATTTGTTTGATGCGGATGATTAAATGTGGTCATTGCTCCTTTGCCCGCCTTTCTTCACTTCTCTCAATGATTAGCCTTTAGTTGTTTTCTTTATTGGTGGGCTATTAGTAGTGAATATTAGGAAACATGGTATGCAAGATATATCCACTATTCAAACATATGATTAAACTGAAATATTCCCTTTCTATGCAAGTTGCTATTATTTTCTGAAACATGTGAGCCTAATAATTCAGAGGGATCAATGGCTGGATGTACAGTATTTCCTGATCTGTTTTAACTTTTTCTCCTGCCTTCTAAAATATGCTTCACAAACTGTCTTTTGTTTACTCTGCATTTTAGCTTTTTTATTTTCTTTTGCAAATGGCTTCTTTTTTGAAATCAAAAAGGGAAAGTAATCGTATAAAGTTCCAGGACTATTCAATTCAAATAAAGTTTTCTAGCTGGTGGCTTTTTTTTGCTAGTGTTGAGTCTCGTCAATTTATGTTGCAGCTCAAAGAGAGAAGACATTGGACAAACAGCTTCACAGCCTAATTGAGCAACTAGCAGCCAAGCAGGTCAGTTTCATCATTATGATGAGACCATTAATTCTTTTCCGATGTCCTTTTCAAATGGGAATCTTTTTCTTTTTCCTACTATTGTTGGCCTTATTTTCAAATTTCATTTTCAAATGAAATATTTTAAATTTATGTCCTTGTTGCTTTCTAGTCACAAGCTGAGGGCCTGACAAGTGAAATTCATTTGAAAGAGAAGGAACTGGAAAGATTGAATGGGTTGTGGAGCAGACTTAAAAGCAGCAATATTGAGGCAAACACTGCAAGGAACAGATTTGGAAGAAGCACTTCAGAAAAGGGATCTGTTTCCGATTATCTTGTTAACTTGCATCACAAGCCTCTCCATAATGCTGGTGATCGAAATGAAAACCAGAATAGGCACATGCTGCTCAGATCGGCCTTTGTAATATACATTTTAGCTTTGAACATCTTGGTCTTCATCAAGATTTCATTTTGAAGAAACTCTCAACAGATGCTCTATGAACATAACGAATTTTCTTTTACTTGCTGAACAACGAAGATGATGTATTCTTCCTATCGTATCACATCTAAATTAACAATTGTATTGTGCAAATAATGGATAGATCATCTAAAAGTTTTACCCGAGTGTTCATTTCGAGATTTGAATTTGTTACTGAGGACACAGTTGTTGGACTAGACTAGTGGGAGCCATATCAAGAAAAAGCGAGTGATCTTATCTCTTTTAAAAAGAGACAATGAAATAACTCTTTGGAAAAATTAACAGTGAACTGCGGGTACAATTTCCCATTTCTATATCATGAAACATATAATTGATGGGTATTGACGAATTCTGGGAGACCTATGGTTTGAGAAAAGCAGACTCTCAAATCTCAATCCTATCCCCTTGAATCAGCAACTACTTTTTCCTCCACTTTCCATAAAATCAAATGCATGAGCCATAATTTACAAATCAAATCTGGAAATATAAATGAACATGTAAGTATATGATTCCCATTTACCAAAACAAAAAAGTATATGTGATTCCTGTATACAATCCAGTATCACTATTTTCTTTTAAGTGTTGTACGATATGAAAATATGATCTTACATAAAAAAAAAAATTAATTAATAATATGTTCGTCTGCCATTTTTCATTACTCTCCTCTGTTACCGACTCTGTTCTTCCTTTTTCAAAATGTAAAGCAAAAACTCATTCCATGTATCAACCGGACCTGGCAAGCACCAGTGAACACAGTCATTGACTGTAACATTCTTATGTGGTGAGCGTCCGAAATGATTCGGATGCCCATCTGGTCTCATCAACATAGCTTCAGTAGTAGAAAGCAATTGAAACTTGAGCCCTTTCTTCTTCCCTTCTGCCTCTGTTGTCCTAAACTCGTCGACTTGTGTCCGGTACATCTCCATGCTATACCAAACATCCTTAAGTTCTTCTTTTGTAAACGGTTTAGTCCTAACACAGTTTCCACCGTTATTCCAGTCTCCATTTTCAAAGTGAGAAGGCGAATATGTCCTCAGAAATGTGATTCCTTTGTAGTTTTTCAGGCTCTGAATGGCTTTAAAGGCAGTTCGAAATGCCATCCTATATCCACGATACACCGTAAGTGCTGTAATATTCTCTATATTGCAGATATGACACCCAATAACACTACCATTTTGTTGGTATATAAGAGGGCGAAAGAACCATTGTCCGGCTGAAATGATCACATAATCGAAGTCTTCGACTTTACTTGTCCATGCCTCATCAGCTTCATCCAAGTAGAGGCTCATGAGGCTGTTCATGGAATATCTACTTGGGTCTGCTTCTCTGGATTTAACCAGGAAAGGAGACCATAGGTTTGCCATGGTGAAATTGTAGTCTGGATAGAACCATTTCTTGAAATTTATTGTGTCTGATGTAAAGTTTTGAGAAAGATCCTCACCATATGCCACCTGAAAAATATCATCTAGTCCTGTGTCAATCTTTATGCGATTGTGCAAGGAGGAAATAATCAATTTCAGGCAGAGGAATTTTTCCTTAACCACGGATATTGATAAATACTTACACCAGATAAGAGACACAACAATGATTGCATTTGATTTCTTCCCACAGAATCTCCAACAAATGCTAATGATTTTCCTCTGACAAGCCTCAGGAACTGCTCAGCGTCGAAGAGAGGCAGCTCACATCCATCTGGTTTCCACCTCCATTTCGTGAATTCTGTGTCAGGCCTTCCAAACTTCATGCAGTTCTGCTGGTCAATGATGAGATTGCAGGTTGTGTTTGTATAATAAGGCCCTTCTGGGTATGGAACCCATCTTCCTGAAAATATATCACATTTCTTTTCCATTTCTATGCTTCTTGACTCGCTGGAATTAAGCTTCGGAGACAGCAGTAACGGCGCCCACGAATTCTCGAGCAGACACAAGGGGATGTAAGTGATGAAAATTAAGGTAAGGACAAAGAAGAGAAGGTGTTTGGAGGTGTTGTATGGATAGTTTTTTGCATCAGAAAACTCCATGGCCTGAAACGAAGCTAGCGAGTGAAGCAACAAGCCAATTTGGGTTTAGTCAATTTATATGGAGTATTGGTGATGATGTGTTATAAAATTATAGGCTTTGGCATTTGGATTTTTTTTTTTAAAAGATTTTAGTGATGATAAAATTGGAATTTTTCTTGAGGGTTGAGTAATGCACCAACCAAGTCATCACCATGGCAAGCAATTAAAAATACGCCTTGAAATAGGACCTCTTATGCTTTGTAGATAAGAATTTAGCAGAAAAAATAATGAACCATGTGCTTCAAATAACTTGATGAAATTATCAATATATATATATTTATATATATAGCTGTCTTAGTTACATATTGCTGTACCTAACATATGGGTTCATTTTGGTTTAGAAAATTTGAGATTCTTTTAGAAAAAGAAAAAACAAGCATGGTTGAATCTTGAATCTGTTTGGAAACATGAGGAAACCAGGTTCAGGGTTCTCTCCTTTTTATTGTATAAAACTACATATATAATATGTATACGTATAACCCAATTGTATTAGAACCTGGCTCATGGGTTATTATCTTTCTAGTGGCTGAAAAAGAAAGGCGTCAAAATAAAAGAAAGCAAAGCTTATTATCTTATTAGGTAGCTTCCTTTGTGCCTGTTTTCTTTTGTTTAATTTGTCAGTTTTTGTTTGGTGTGCTCCTGTGGGTTATTTATTTATTTATTTTTTTGGCTGACAAACACGGAGACATCCATGGTTTTATAGGAGCTGTTGTAATTTAATTAATTCCCAATCATAAGGCATGCAGTGTATTATTGGGTAATGAATGTATATACGTATGTACATACAGTATGAGTGTGGTTTATGTAAACAGTGGGGCTGACAAGAGTACTGGCGTGGCTTATGAGCAAAGCTGTCCGTGGATATCATCATTCCAAGCAATTGTTGGGACTCAACCTGGCCTTATTGAATCATAATTCACAATATATACATGTATATATGTGCCCATCATATTTCTTGCATGTTTTGTACGTTTCGGTGCATGTTATTATACCTATCATGGACTTACAAGTTTAACCCTTTTAATACGAAAGAAATCCCAAAAGAAGTGTGGAAGGTGTGTTAGAAGCTCAATTAGTCGTGAATAATTAATTAGTAATTGGATTAGTCAAAAGTGTGCATTGAATTGGACAACAATATTTGATTTATGAATATTACGAGTAAATGATTCAAGGGTAGAATTTGTTTCTTTCTTCTTATTAATTAAACATGACAGCTTAAAGTGTCGGTAATGACCACCAGAAAACAAAATCCAAAAAAGAAATGAAATTTCTTTGATGCAAATCCATTGTGGAAATATCCACGCACATTGCTTATCTGTTCATACGTTGCTTTCTCACAAAATGACAGAGACTAAAGGAGGGAATAAAAGAAGACACACATGACTGGAAAAAGATTATCCATGGAGAAAACTACTACTTATTGCATCTCGATTGATTACTCTGATATGCCGATTCAAAACTTATTAATGTTTTAAGTAACTAATAGATTGTTCTAAACCGGATTCTTTCTACTTTCTCATTCTCTCATCTGGGTAAAAGATTTCACCAAAACAAAATTTGTTAATCAGCCTGAATTATTGTCATAATTTATGCTTAATCCAAACTCTTTACCAAGAAAAGTAATTTATTAAAACTTATAATACAAATTGAAACTTGAAGGTGAGTAATTCCTACTCTCTCTTTTTTTTTAATGATTTTATTCGACATGTGCAGAAATATTTTACAACTTTATGCTACAAAAAGTATGGCGTAGGACGGTAGGAAAAGTAATAAAGAAGTGCGTAAATATCAAATTGCATCTTAAATTCTTATTACTCATTAATTCTATCGTCGCGTATTCGTTAATATGTTTAAATAGATAGTGACATTATTAATTTAAAAAAAAAAATATTTATATAATGATTATGTCGACCGAGAAATGAGAGAGGTGGTGTTGGTGGCTACTCCGGTCATAGTGTTTATTCCTCCCACCTTTCTCTAAATAGCTCATCCCTAGCCGAAATCTTCAACCAGAGCAACCAATTCAGTTTGTTGATCACTGTAGTCTCAAATCTAAAGACTAGTTGTTGGGAGTCTGAAGAATCAATCAAATATATGTGATTATGTCAAAATGGTGTAAATGAAAATACCATTTCATTCCTTTTTTGTGAATTTCAAGAATAAGTATAAGATAACAATAATTAATACTGTAAACTGATACAAATGATGTAATCACAATATTATTGTAGGAATAAATTTTTTTAAAACATTATTTTAGGCAACTGAAACACATGATGGATTAACCCCACAAAATTTATCTATAATGCGACCTTCAATAATTTTTTTCATTTCATAGCCCTTTTCTGTGAACAGAATTCTCCTCCTCAGCTTCCATCTTCACCACGTGAAGCAAAAACTGATTCCAAGAATCAATCGGTCCCGGCAGACACCAGTGCACACAATCGGCTATCGTCACCTTCTCCTCCGGCGAGTGCCCATAATGATTAGGGTGCCCATCAGGTCTCACCACCATCGCATCAGTTATGTCCAGCAACCTAAATTTCAGCCCTCTCTCTTCTCCTTCCCTCTTCGCCACCTTGAATTCCTCCCTCTGAATCAAATAAAGCTCTGCATCAGGCCATTCCAGCTTCATCTCTGATATTAAAACAGGGCTTGTCCTGTTACAATACCCTCCATTGTTCCACTCTCCGTGCTCGAAATGCGCCGGCGACAATGTCCTCAACACCGTAACTCCCCTGTAATTTTCGAGCTTCAACAATGTCTTAAACGTTGTCTCGAATGCCTTGCGGTAGCCGTAGAACATGGTGAGATCTTTGACGTTGGGTTTCTGGCAATCATGGCAGCCGATAATCTTGTCGTTTTCGTAGTAAACTTCGGGTCCGAAAAACCATCTTGTTGCAGAGATGATTACGTAGTCGAATTTCTGGATTTGGGTTCTCCATGAACTGCTGGGTTTGTCTAAATGAAGAATCATGAGGCGAGTTTTTGTCTTGTTATTTGGGTAATCGTCTGTCTCGATTGATTCGACTAGGTAAGGTGACCAGAAAGCTGAAACTGTGAAACTGTAGTTTCTGAATACTCTGCTCGTGTGTCTTGAATCGATTGTGTCGATATAGATTGGATTCTCGACCTGATTATACAAACTTATGCACACAAATTTCAGACCCAGAAAACCCAGTTCGATCCTAAATAAAACCCAGATGAGCACTGAGTAGATATATAATATATGTGGGTACGTGTAGGAGTACTCACAGTAGATAAGAGGCAGAGTAATGACTGCATCTGGTTTCTGCCAACAGAGTCACCGACGAACGCCATGGATTTTCCTCTGAGAAGCTCCAAGAACTGTCTAGCATCGAAGAGGGGAAGTTCGCATCGGTGTGGTTTCCATCTCCATTTCAAGAAATCTGTGTCGTGTCTACCGAACTTGATGCAGTTTTGCTTCTCGAAGATTTCGTGACATGTTTGGTTGGTGTAGTAGTAAGGCTGGTTTTGTGGAGAAGGAACCCATTTTCCATGAAAGATTTCACATTTTGGTCCGGGTATAAACGACGTCGGCCATTGAAGAAATGAAGTGTTGAGAAAGTAAATGGCGATGGTGGAGAAGATGACGGAGGTGAAGAGTAGTAACAGAGCTTTGGTTGTGGTGTTGTGCGATTTGATTTTCCCAAGGTGAAACTCTAGAACATGAACCATTATTGGAGAGGAAGACGATGAGAAGTAGTAATTAATGGAGATTATGAGAAATTTATGTGGAAAAAAAAACAGGAGAAGAAAATTTAATGGTTTTAATTTGTTTATTTGTGGGGAAGGTGACCAAAAGACTCCAAAATATTTTATTTATTAAAAACAAAATCAAAAAAAGAATTATGACCATCCATTTATTTTCTTGACGAATCACGACCCTCCAATAAATACAATTTTAAAATTCAAATTTATAAATACAGGAAAAAACAACAAAAAAAAAAAATAGTAGAAATTAAACAATTCCAAATTTTAAGGTCTTTTTTTTTTTTTTTTTTTTTTAAATAAAAAATAAAATCTATCTGAATCTCATTTTTCTGTCACTCAAAAACTGAAGCTTCTCCTCGTAAGATCTCCTTCCCTCCGTCTTCAACATCGCCAGCAAGAAATCGCTCCACGAATCAATCGGCCCCGGCAAGCACCAGTGCACACAATCATTATACAGCGTCACATTCTCGTGCGCCCAGTGACCGTACTTACTCGGGTGCCCATCGGGTCTCAACAGCATCGCCTGCGTCGTGTCCATCAACCTATATCTCAACCCTTTCTTCCTCCCTTCCTCCTCCGCCCCTCTGTACTCTTCCAATTGAATCATGTAGAGCTCTAAATTCGCACCCTCCAAACTCGTCTCGTTACTGTGGAACGGCCTCCTCCTCAGGCAATTTCCGCCTTGATTCCACAATCCGTTCTCGAAATGGGAAGGCGCGAAGGTCCTTAAGAAGGTAATCCCCTTGTAATTTTTCAAACTGTTGATGGCTTTGAATGCGGTTCTGAAGGCTTGTCTGTAGCCGTAATACATTGTTAGGTCGGTAACGTTTGGAAGGAGACAGTAATGGCAGCCGACGATTTGGTTGTTTTGGTAGAAGACTTGCGATCGGAAGAACCAGTGACCGGCGGAGAGGATGACGTAGTCGAAATCTTGGATCCGGGTGACCCATTCGGGGTCGGGTTCGTCGAGGTAGAGAGTGAAGAGACCGGTGGCGGTGGGGCCGTCGGAGTCGGATTCTTTGGATCGGACGAGATGGGGTGTCCAGAAAAAGGCTAATGTGAAATTGTAGGATGTGTATTTCCACCGCTTGAAATGCTCGTCCGCTGTGTACGACTCATCTATTGGGTATTCCACCTGCAAAAATTACCATACAAATTTAATTCAAAAGAAAATATTTTAAATAATCTATGGAATTAAAGATTATTCAGATTATAATATGAATTAATTAAAGTTGATCAGATAAGCTGTTCATTATTAAATTAATTATTATTTTTTTAAATTGCCTAAATTTTGCAAGAGAATATACAGAAACTGATGCAGCCTACTGACAGCTTTATTTATTTATTTATACAGCTGGATGTGTTGACCCTCCTAATTGCATCATGTGCCTTAAATTAATTTCTCTAATAAACATTAATTTAACTACTCACAGAAAAATAAAATTAATTTCTCTAAAAACATCAATACATAATTGTAGGCAGATATTAGTATCTGCTCAACTACAGTCTCTCAATCATTATCCTCTCAAATATATATATATATATAACCACCAATTTAAGTTATTATTTTTACATACTTACAGATTGGAAATTAATATTACTAACATCAGTTAATTAAGATTAACATCTTCTTCTGTCAACAAGAGACACATTTAAATATATAATGGTTTACAGAAGATACCCACCCAAAATGTGATTTCAAAATTGGGTTCTATAAATATATAATGTACTTAACTTAATCATTAAAATGGAACCCCCCCCCCCCACCCATTTTCAAAGACTGACATCTAACTATATACATATACATATATATAAACTCATATCGACATGTATACGTATACACACCCGAGATTCCTCACACCGCAACCCCCAATCACGTTCACCTAACCCTTGATTTTGATATCGGCTTTAGGTCAACTAACCTTACAGCCAGCCAGCTAACCCATAATTTCTCTGGTTAAAAATTGGATGTCAAATCTAATACAAGCTGACGCTCATAATATAATCAAACTCAAATTCACCAACAAAACAAATATCAAATTCTAATCAGATCGACTAAACTGAATTATTAATTCTAGTTGTATTTTTCATTTTTAAAATCTTACATTTTCGCTAATTACTCGCTCTTTAACCGTTAGAGATACCAGTGTAATGCACACACCGTACGTACGGATGATATAATGTGATTGACAAGGAAGAAATTAAGAAACATACCCTGGACAGAAGGCAAATCAAGGACTGCATCTGGTTTCTCCCCACCGAATCTCCCACAAACGCCAATGACTTGTCTCTAACAATTTCTAAAAACTGCGCCGGATTGAAGATCGGCAGGTCGCAGTCATCCGGCTTCCACCGCCATTTCATGTAGCCGGTGTCCGGCTTCCCGTACTTGATACAGTTCTGGTGTTCGTGAATGGCCCAACACGTCTTGTTTGTGTAATACGGTGCGTTTCGATCGGGAACCCATTCCCCTGTAAATATATCACAGTGTTTTTCGTCTATGGAGACGTTGAGTGGGTTGAGCTGGGAATAGGTTTTGGTGGGAATGGGGCTGAGAAAGCGAACGGGGTAACGTAGAAGAGGGTAACAGATGGGGATTACAGCGAGGAGGAGTAGGGTTAGAGCTGCTACTATTGCTACTTTAGGGGTACTCTTATGGGTTTTGGTGGAAGGAAGCTCTGTGGACTGAAGCTTCATGTTTGAAGAGAGAGAGAGAGATGAGTGAGGAAGAAGAGAGGGACGCAGTGATGAGGAAATGGGAGTGAGTGAGACCAGGTATTTAGTTATGTTATAATTATAAGACTTTTGACGATCACAGATGATAATTAATTAATTAATTAATTATATTTGTATGTGGTTTTGGTGTATATATGTGCGTACCACTAAAGGTATTACGATTTAATATATAAAATTTGATTAAAATTTTAATTTCATAGAATATTAATTTATAAGATTGAATTAGGATTATGTTTATGTTTAATTGAAGTGATTAGTTTTTAATTTAAATTAATAAATGTGTTTGAAAAGCATGTGAATATTAGTTTCTTTAGATATTATTATTCTTTCGTATATTTATTTAATTTGTCCTTCACACGGAATTTTATGGAACAACAACCGGATATAATAATTTCCATCCCTTATAATATATATATATATATATATATATATGTATGTAAACACATGATGTGATACCTCCATTTGATGCATAGCTATTATTTTACTTTTGTCACGTTGTCCATTGGATGAGATTCTCTCTAAGCAAATAATTTTTTTTTTTTATAAATAAAATAAAAACTTTCTTTTATAAACAATCCTTTTTCATTACTTTTAAGATTATTAAATCCATTACACAAATTTTATTTTTAAAAATCACTTATATGCATATAAAAATATATTAAAAATACAATACATCTTTTTTTTTTTTTAATTAATTTGTCATCACATCCAACTTTTTCTCTTTTTTAAAAGTTAAATTTACTTACACATCAACATATAGTACAAAAGAAAAAAAGAAAAAAACTTATGTGCGGGTGGATTATACTTCTCCCACACTCTAAAAATTTTAAAAATATATTATGGTAAAAAAATTATTATGTTTAAAAAATTTATTAGTGTATGATTATTTGATAGCCACACACATCATTGAAACTATATGCATCATGTGACGTGATATTTTTATTTTTATTAATTGGAAGATAATACTTATAACAAAATAGTAGGAAAATACTCGTAAATTTGTATTCTGAGTTTTAAAAAATATTCAACACGATATATATTACAAATAACGTAAACATCCTTATTTGACTTCAGTAAAATATTTACTGTCCTATTAAAGGTGTGCGTGTGTGTATATATATATATATATATAACTTAATTCTGAAGTTACTGACGATGGCCTAGAAAATGAAGGGGTTTGTCAAGTTGACTGGGGAAGTTTCTGAGAAGGAAACTTGTTTGTTTGGCAAGAAAAATTCAGTCTAAACCTGTTTAATTTTAATTACTTGGGTATTTTGTATTATATGTTATGGATTCGATGCACCTAATTAATTTCAACATGTTTTTCCCTGCAGGGTCGTAAATTTTTTTCAAATTTAAATTCATGCCCTTCCTTCAGCTTTCATACATCTAAGTTTGAACAAGCCCCATAAAACTAAACAATTAATATATATATATATTACAGACTAGATCGCTCCGATTATACAATCACTATTTAGAAAGAATCCAAAACTAGCTTGGTAAAAGAAAAAGAATCCAAAGTTCCAAATACCTTATATATATATATATATATGTATATAATCAACTAGCTCCATTATTTGGATATATCAATTGTGCAATAGATATTAGTATCATCATCATAATATAATATAATATTAATTGAAATGAATTCATGTTATATTGGCAATAATGGTCCGATTAAGACTTTTTTATTTCTATTAGCAAAATCACCGGTGGGTATCGCATTGCAATCAAGCTTTTTTAATAATCAATTTATGTATTTAAGCTAATAATTTTTAATTAAAAACTATTTATGGCCACCTCTATTCATATTTAATTTATTAATTATCAATCCAATGACAAATCCCAATTAGTTGGAATGTCGTAATACCAAATTTATAGTAATAATAACGAATCGTGAATATTTTATATTTTAACTATATATAATATAAAAAATTAAAACTAAGAATTCACATGAAATCTACATGAATGTTTGATTTCATTTAAAGAGCATCTCATGTCTCAGTCCAGGAGGAACACCAATAACATGAACAACCCAATTTCAGAAGGCCCAAATTAATGTAGGCCCAAGTGATTTTTCTTCAAAATGATGATTGAATCTTTGTCTCATACTAGTTGATGTGAAAATTTTGATTTGCTATTTTGTAGAGACCAATTTAATTTGAGGTTGATCTAATTATTTAAATGATATGACTTGACTTTTATATATACAACTAAAATATTAAGTTTAAATTTTCGAGTGCTAATAATTTGTCCTAAAAAAGCAAACTAGTAGTTTTAAATCAAAAGCTGCATGGCAAATAGTTTTTGGGCTTCGACTATTATTGTTGCACTAAACGTAATCAAAATGTTCATCGTATTTATTTCTAAATATGCATGTCAACCAGCTTAAAGAGCTTATGAACCAAACTAAGGTATAATATACTACTATAAAATATATTTAGCTTGAGAATAGTCGAGCATAAGGTAGGTACGGGACCGTTATATCTATCCTAATACTTGTCCTGCTAGTAAAAATATCACTTAAAAATTAATTTAAAAATTAGTTAAATAATAATATTTAAACATAATTTACTCAATGAGTGTGGGACATAATTTTTATATCTACATTCGGAACGTATTATGCTCTTGTTAAACATAGGATTTTAGCTACCGTATTCGGAACAAGTTAGAGTCAATTAGCCAGTAATCTGCCCCTAATGATGATTTTCTAAAATATTTTCAACACCCTAACATATCTCTCAATTAGCTGAAAACTTCATATAGTCACTATGATTTCCTTAGGTCTATAAGTGAACTTTTGATAAGGTATAGACCAACATAACTAATTTTTAAAAAAATACATAAAAATAAATCTATTTAGTTAAAAAGTTGAAATTAACCTAAAAGATAAATACCCATTTTCATGTGAGTGAGTTTTTGAAATGGGTAAAGTTAATAATAAGTGGTTGATGACAAAACAACAAAACAGATTTCTTAATTTACTCAGTTAATTTCTCATTTTACTGTCATGCCAACTTACATTACATCATGCATACCCACCATCACCATCACCATCACCTTCCCTTCCTTGTGTTCTCTAGTTCTTCGTTTTCTTATATTCTTAATTTTCTGGATCTTATCAATTTTTGTCAGAAATCTGTCTTTTTTTTAAGAAAAAATAAAATTTGGAGGAAATGATGGTGTACTTAAATGCTCGCTATTTACAGGCATTGCACAGAGACTAAATCTAAACCATAAAAAAATTAGCATAATCAATATCTACACCTCTAGCCAAAATCAATTTCTACACCTTTCACAGCTAAAGCAAATGAAGAATCAATTCTACATTTTTAGAAAGCTTTGATTGCAAATAAAGCGGTCAGTATGTAAGGAAATCTAGAAAAATAACCAAGTGGTACGTATTAATCGTGGCCCGTGAGTCACCAAAGTCACTTGAACTTGAGGTGTGCATGAGGAAAGGATAAGTGAGCCACGAGAGTTGGAGAGGTGTTGCATGACTGAGGGTTCAAACAATCACTAAACCATGAAGAGAGCTGGAGATGAGCTAAAGCCTGGAGAGGTGTTGCGTGAGGACTGAGCCGGAGAGGAGAGGTGAGAGGCGAGTGCGAGAAAAGTTGGGAGTGGTGCTGCATGTGAATGAGGACTAAGTTGTGGCCCATGAGGAAAGCCGAAGAAGAGAGGGTGAGTGGGAAGTCCGAGAGGAGTTGAAAGTGAGAGACTAAGAGTGACAATTAGGAAGTTAGGTTATTTATTTTTCTGAGTGGTCCAAGCCGAGTATATAATTAGCTTGGACCAATTTTTTTGGTCCTTATCCCTGGATTGAAGACCAAACCAAGAATAATCTGACTTGGTCCCCCCAAACTGAGATCTGCACTATTAAATTTAACCATCAAATTATGTACGAAATAACAAAATTTAAGTTAATTATAAGAATGAAAAAGGCATGCTTTTGAGTACACGCATTTACTAAACTTATTCTATTGGCAAACATTCGTATACAAGTAAAATTAAATATCAGTATATTTCATTATTTTCTAAAAATAGTAATTTACTATATACATGATAAATATATATTTATGTATATCTTAATTTCAATCGCATTTTTAACCGACATTAAATAATTAACTAATCATATATTATTATATGGCAATTATGTGATTGTGAAACAATAAAACAGCAACATAAAGTGAAACTTCTTTTAGAAAAACACAAAAACTTCTTTAACAAAAATATATCTTATAAATAATTAATTAAAAATAAGCTTTAGTTTATGAAGATTGCCGTACTATTATCATAGAAAATAAATATAAAATATTATAATTATATTAAAAAATAGAATTTTTACATAATTTATTCGTAAATAAGACATATTTTAAATATGGTAAAAGGAAAGAGGCACGTATCTTTATGTGTGTGTATGTTTGCATATATATCATATATAATAAATAAATCCCAAGTGATGTATCATTTTCGACAGAGGTCAGGAGGTCTTGGTCTTAAATATTGCGTGGCCAGCCTTCCAAACGCTTAGACGTTCACATCAGGCCGTTCACTCATTCATATTCTACCTCTTTATCTCTCCTCACCACTCCCTCCTCTCCGCCATAGCCTAGCCTTCATGTAAATAAATTTTTTCACTTTCTTTATTTCTCCACCATTTATACACACACATACATATATATATATATTCATTCAGATACTAGAGGCTTTCTTGAAGACCAACTATTTCTCTGAGCCACATACATAGAGGTTTTGTCATGTCTCTTCTCTGTTGATTTGGCTTTTAGTAATGAAGTAATTGATTTTGTGTTGTTTTTTCATATGCAGGTGATGATGGTGGGGCTGAATGGGTTGATGGTGGCATTGAAGTCAAAGATAAGGTCATTGAAGACCAAGAAGCCTTATGATAAGATTGAAAAGAGTGACAGCATGAGAGTTGAAATCAGAAGCAGGAAGGCTCAGAAACTTATAGAGAAGACTCTCAAGATTGCTGATTCTCCAAGGTCAAAAACTTATGCTTTTTGAGACTCTTCATCACATCTCATCTTCTCTAAATCACATAGAATCCCACTGCTGTTGATTGTTAAAAATGCTTCAATATATAACCTCAACTATACTGATGTCAGAGAATTAACTCCAGCTTTCTACTATCTCTTGCTCTCTCTATACTGTTTATATCTGTCAACGATGGTGTATGCTCTATAGATTTTGATTACCTTCTGCCTAGATTTTCTTGATAAATGAAATCTATAATTTGCATGGAAGTACTATACACGGAAGAAGCTTTGGATAATTGATTGAGATTCTTAACGATTAGACAACTTCCATGAAATTTACTTCAAAATTTACTCTTACTTTGATTAGAAAATAATGCAAAATGTTACTAGAAGATGGTAAAGAATAACTACAGGAAATTGTAAATATAATTGAAATAACGCATATATAATATAAAATGCTTTTTTCTAATAATTTTATTAGTTCTTGAATATGAAATCATTTTTTATAACTTCTCCCAAACAAAATAAGGACGAATTTTCGAAGATCTATAATGGAAATTCTTGATTTCTTACAAACATAACCTCAATTCTAACAAAGGCTAATCATTTTTGGTCAATACAGAGAATATGCCCTTGCCCCAAGAGAATTTCTTCTATTCTTTTTATTTTCTACTTAATTTTCTGAAGAACCTATATTCTCAACCTAAAGTGGATCACAAACAAGTGACGATGTGGAAAGCATAAAAGTAAGAATAAATAAACAAAAATATACTTGAACTCTTTGGATTTGAATTGAGGCAATTAAAATATTTAACATCTTCATCATAATCCATGCAAAATGCAGAGTACCTTTTGTTTGCTCCTCTCTGAAATTGCCTTTATTTTAAGCGGATACCCCACGCAATAAAGCTGTCACAAAACGAGTCATCAGATGATCAATCTCCATTAAGCGGCTAAGCACAGAAGAGCAGAATACATACAAAAACAAAACACCCAGTAAAGAAAGACAAAAGGAAGCAGAGGAAAAAAGCACACATTTATATAGAATAGCCTTTTGCGTAGAGGACATATCAGATAAAAATAAAGTTGAGGTGTATATGAACCTGGAGAAAGAAGACAAGAAAAATGGTCCCTGATGTGGCGATTGTTTTCTTCTATAGAAAATGAAGCTTCCTTGGTGGATATCAGAGGTTCAAAACCTTCAAACGATTATATTTTTATACACTAATACCCTCAAGAAACAGTGAATCATCCACATTTGTGCATCTAAATATCTCAGAGCAAAGATTGTCCACGAGATCCAGAACTCCTGCCAAGAAAGGTTCAGGCGAAAATGCTACTAATCCTGCAAAAAAGTTATCTCTAGCGAGAATACTGGTCGGAATCCCACGCACCCTCCAACATTTAAGATGCATTCTGATCCAAATCAAGTAAACAAATGCCCCAAATGCACAAGCTTCTTTTGCTTTTACTCTCCTAAATGAAAATGCAAGTAAATTATCTTACTTGGTAGAAAACTGATTTGCCCTAAATTAGGATTCTCTTTTATATTTGACATTTAATTTCTTGACCATGACAAAAAAGCTAAACCAGAGCAACGATATATTTCCTAGAGGGTGAAATATGAACATAAAAATAAAAGCTAAGATGGTGTAGGTTAAGAAATAATAATAGAGAACAAAATGAATACTAATTTCAGTCAATATGGTCTATTAGACAAAGAATGGAAGACCATACTGATGGGACCTTGATATAGAATGTGCAGATCCTTGTAGTTGATTATATCCACTGTATTCGTTCAATAAGAACAAATGTGCTGAAATCTGGCATAGGTGGGAACAGAAGGCTAAAATATGTTTCCGGTTCCAAAAACAGTATCTGTATGGCTATTACAGTTTAGCCCCAAAAAATTTAAACAACGAAATACAGTTTGTCTAGCAGCCAAAATGTTGCTCTGCTGTATGTAGTAACAAGATATCCTCGCATATCTCTGAAATCACATCAAATTACCATATGCATATATTAGTAAGCACGATGGTAAAGCGTCCGAAGATCCCTGCAATGGATGCATGACCATGGAAATAAAGGAGGGTCCAGACAATAGGAATGGATGCTACGAAGCTCGCAAAGATGACATTTGATGAGGAGCTCTTCAGGTTCCCGATAAAGGCATTTACTACAAACTGAAGCCGAGGACTGTTAAATGCCAAAAGAAAACATAGAGAAGATTAGTCACATCAGACACTACCATCCTATATGAGCAACAGTAAATATTCCAAGTTTTTGGTGCAAAAGTTTGAAGTTGACATTAATCATAAAGCAGCCATAGTTAGAGCAGAAAGATCATTGATAAAACGATTTCCGTATTGCATAGAAGTTGTTCATAGATCAATGGATGCCTACGATCAACATGCAGCAAGACAGCTGCCTGATGGTTCATAAAGGATCATAACTATTTTTGTCTTTCCTAACCATAAACTGCTGAAAGGCAAATCAAATATAATGGAACTTAGTTGACAAGGTAATGAATAGATGGGATGGAGCCTGACGTTTCCACTTCAAGTTCTCAACAAAAATATTATGGATAACACTAGGTAAAGCAAGCATCAAAAGTAGCAATTATAATCTCATGTAACTCCCACTCCACTTCCATTTTTTCCCAAATGATAAACTATTTTACTAATATGAGCATAATAGTACCAGAGCATCAGAACGCTGTCTTTCTTGATCAGTAAGGATAATAATATCCTTCTTCCAAGAGGGGCAAGGAATAGTTTGAGAGTAAATTTTCTGATCGAAGGTTGCTGCATCCTCCACCTTTGTGATGCTTACAAAACTTGCCTTGCACAAGGGACAAGTTGAAATTTTTCCTCTCGAAACCTGCTTACAGCATTATCAGCACATTAATCTTTAACACTGGAACCAAATAATGGTAACACATCAAAGAAAACTCATACTAGACTATGTTTGAAATCTATATTTGGTTCCGCTATGAGAGAATGAAAATTCTATTATAAGATGATGAAAATTGACCTCATATAGAATTGTAAATGGAATTGAAACAAGCTTTTCCCAATTTCATCAGTTTTTCTAGAATTTAATCTGAAATCTATACTTAGTTCAATTATAAGAGGATGAAAATTCTATTATAAGATGATAAGAATTGAAATTTTAGAGAATTCTATATGGATCTAAAACAATAAAATTCTGAATTCCGTCAAAGTTTTCACCATCTCATGGTTAATTGTGAGTTTCCAAAGGACTTACAAAGAAGTAGTTCGAACATAGCCCAAAGAAATTATCATGCAGTTTAAAAGAGTTTATCGCCTTTCGCTTCCCCCTTTCTCTAGTGCTTCTAAGTTTGATAGATGCAACTGTAGAAGCATCTAACTTCTAAAAGATTCTGAAACACAATATCATCATTATCTTCTTATGCAGGGGAAGGGAAGCAGCAGAAAGGAAGCATTTTAATGGTTATTCTCTTCATCTTCACCCACTCCCCATAAAATAAATAAATACAAGAAATAACAACAAAAAGCAAAAGAGAAAGAACCAGAGGCATATCATGTATCACTCAATACAAACACCTGCCAGAAACCGGGCACTGTTTGAAGAATCAAAACAGTAAATTGGATTGTTGTTAATTTAGGTTCATACTGCTTCCACACCAGGAAAAATTGACTTCATCTGTCAAATTGTTGTTTTGCTAAGAACAAAATCTAAAAATTCAATGTCAGGGATACATTCTAAACCTCCAATTCTGCAGAGTTGACAATTAAAATTTAGGAAGTATAATTGAAAAATAGCCAACTTAATGAAAGAAATATGACACCAGTCCCAAATTCAAACAGAAAGACATTCTCGGTATCACTGAACAAATTATGGACTAATTAAAAGAAAATTTAGGGCTTTCTTTGATGAAAAGCGAAAATGCACATACATTCAGACAATCCTGAATTTATTTTATATATTCAGTACATATATTCACATGGTAATTATAAGACAAAAACCTAATGAGCATGAAAAATGAAAAGAATAGGAGATAACTGGAAAAGAGAATACCATATGATCAGCCCAGTTTTGGATGCAAGAATAACAAAAACGATGTCCGCATTGCAAAACCCCTCTAGTTGAACTAAATTCTGTCCAACATATAACACATGATAATTCCATTGAAGGAGGTGACCTGGTAACAATTTCAATAGGATCGACATCTTCCATACTTCCATCTCTGTTCTCAGTATTAGTGCTACAGTCTTGTGAAGGTAAGATAGAAGGCGATGCAACCTCAGCATGTAAATTTGAAATTCCCAAAGCAAGTGAATGGTTCCAATTTTGAACCTCTTCAATATCATCAAAACCTTCAGTTATAGTTCTTCCGTGCATCGAGAAACCACTAACAGATGTTCTTCCAGTTTTATCAACATCAACATCTCTTTCACAGTCTAAGTATTTATGAAGAGCCCCAATATAGTTTTTTCTCTCATGAACATTGCTTGGGTGGCACTCTAGGTCAGAAGCTTCATGCTCTGAAGTACCTATATGAGCAATCTTCTTCACAAGCCTCCTCACTTTTCTTGAAACCAATGAAGGGCTTCGGATCCCATCGATAGCCATCTTCCTCTTGTCCCGTGATGATTGAGAAGACCGAGTATTTGACTCTCCATGCTTCTTGGTAAGCAGAAGGCGAACATTCCGTGAGAGAGATACCAAAACCAAATTAAATAAATATAAAAGAATAGAGACAAATAACTAGGAAAGAAAATGTGGAAATTGAGAAATTCTACTTTGCAGCTACTGACTGGAAACAAGGAACATTTCTTCAGAGGAATAAGCTAAAAATAGTTTTGCATCCCAACATAAAAACCAGATCTTATACAGATAATGCAGCTTGTCTTAAGTAGATGAAATTTTCCAAACAATATATAATCAAGTAGTTTGGAATTGGAACAAATACTACAGGTAACATGACCATCACTTATGATCCACTAGGTAAACCTTCCTTAAGTTTCAGGTGTTATGAATAAGATCAGAAAGATTAATTGTAGTTTATATAATCATAATTAATATCCAAGTTCACTTATTTTACATTTCTAAGATGCATTATCAAAAGAAGTGTTAAATCATTAGACTTAACCTCTGTCTGTTTCAACTGGAATGTTGCTTATATCAAATTGAGAAACAACTCCCTTTGCTATATGAAAATATTTTCTAGTATTAGCTTCCTAATTACACATATTTAAAAATGAAAATGATAGTAAATATAATAGTGGAAATGAAAATTAGATTTGAAAAGGACAAAAAAGTTGTTTCTGCTTGCAACAAAACTGTTCCGATTAATACTTGAGTGCTCCATATACGCAATTACCATGTGTATTTCATGAATAAACACATATATGAATCTAAATGAATTTAAGAAATGAAAATTAAAAATATTTTCAACTACCAAACAGGGACTAAGTTCGGCTGATCAACATTCAATCAGCCAAATGTTGCATAATAGATTTATCTGCTTTAGTTTCAGAAACTATGGATTTCACATAAGCTACAGAAGCTTCTCCTGCATGCACATAAGATGGTAAAGTAGAGTGTGGAGTAAGCTTGTTGACAACATTACTAAAGTGCAATATGTTAGTTACCGAATTTGGCTATCTAGAAGCGAAGTTCATAATAATCATCCCTCTCAATAGCTTCAACTGTAGAAAAGCTATAGGGAATTCATTCGAGCACTTGTCCCAAAAAAAAAAAGACATTTACTGAGTTAAATTAAAAAAATGGAATTTTTGTTTCAGTCTTATCCTGTTTCTAGGGATGAATTAAAATATGGCAATTGTGACACAGGAAAAGTGCAGTGTAAAATTAGGTGTATTGATGTTAAGTTAGCACGCTATAAAGGTCAGTCATGAAAGCTAAAAGTTTAATCACCAAATCATATTGACATTCTTGACTTAGAATAGATAAGCTAAGACATTGAGTTCATTACCCCCAATCCAACTAGTCCAGATAAAGGAGGATCCTGAAACCAAAATCTGCTGCTTGACTGGTATTCCCGACTTGAAGATCTCTCTTTCACTGGTTTGTACTTAAGTTTATGAGAGCTACTACTAGCTTTTCCAGATTTACAAGATAGTTTCTGCAATTAATTTCCACAAAAGCAAATTAATTCCAGATCATCATTCACTAAAAAACTACTAGAAACTATATTGTACTACACAAATCTGCAAATTTGGGACTTAAACAAAATTCTAACTTCTGAGATCCCAATTATTGTTTAAGTCAATTAGGGAAACCTCATATGAATGAAATAATTAACTATTATAGAGCTCGGATAACAGTGAAAATAATTAACAATCTGATGCAACTAATATGAATCATCCACAATCACATAGGTAGAATGTGAAAGAAATCCAAAAAGCCCAAGAGACAAGAATTAGCTGACTAGGGTATGTTGATGCAAAATAAATTGGTATATTATATATTTTCTAAAATAAATCTCTTATATTGTAATGTTAAAAACCAAAAACTCATCATATACACAACCTGCACCATATAGAGCCTGGAAGATACTGAAGCTATGTTTGATACATTAGATAGAGTAGGATGAGAGGTGGGGAGGCTTCTTATCCTACCTTACACAATATTTGAGAGTAAATTTTTTCTACAGGTACTGTTATGCACCCATGATAGTTGAAACTATATGTTTGTGTTGATGCAAGTTTGCATACAGAGGCAAGTCCACATGTAAGAGAAGTTCAGAAAGATCACCTCCAATGAGAAAGTATTACTCCAAATAGCAAGATCAGAAGCATCAGCAACTGTATCTGATTTTTCATTTTCATCATCCTCATACATGCTGGCTTTGGCAGAAATTATTTTATGTTTGCTACTCGATGCTCGCTCATCAGCAACATGTTGGAAATCCATCACCAAAGGCCCTACTTCGTGTCCACTGCAGAAAATCAATTTCAATAAGCTCACATTCATTAACTGTATCATTTCTCGTGCATAATTCAACCACAGCAGATGAGCAAGATTTAGAGGAATGTAAAAACCATTAATTCCATTATATGAAATTTTACACGGACAATTTGACATCCTTTTCTGCTCAAGGGCTACAGCCCTTGTGGAAAAGGATGTCAAATTGTCCGGGATAGTTTTTACGTAGAAGCCTTTTAACACCTCATCCACAGAGTTATTACGTGGGTAGAGGTACCAGAGGAGATAAACGCTTTTGGTATACAATCTGAAATCTGAATGAAGCTATTCCATTACTTTTTTTCAGGAAAGGTAAACGACAAGCATTGACCTTCAAACAAGATAATCCTGACAATCACCACAACTGATTACCTTAGCACAAACCAATATTTTTTTCATCCATCAGGAAGATAAAAGTCAATTAATTTTACCATACCTTTGCAACCGATAGGGACCTTCTGGCACGCACTTCCCTTGTTTTATACATTCCTCTATCCACTGGTGGTTAACTATTACAGTCCCGAATTTCTTAGCCAGACTGTATTTATTCCCTTCAAATTTCCAACACACCTAAAAAATAAAAAACTTAATAAAGAGTCGACAAACAAAGATTAAAATAAGGTGCAATCAAGCTAAAAGATCAAAACTGACCAAATGGGTAACCGATCTTGACATTGCACCAACATAACTGGCGCCGGTATGAGAGATCAGCTTTATAAGGTTAAAGCGCTCCGACCCATGGTAGCCACTGACAGTTGCTACCACATTTTCCATTCCTTAAACAGGGCAAACCATACTCTGCAAAATCACAGAATCAATTCCCAAACAAGGATCGGATTCGCGAAGAAAAAGAACGCATCGCCAATTCATAAAATTATGGTCTAACAGAAGGTAATAGAATGGGCTAACTTTTGAAGATCGATTACGGGAAGTGATGAATACACAGGAAAAAACGCAATTTTGACCGAACACTCTACTTTCGATCATATCGTGTTAAGATATCAACGGCACAACTAAATCCCGAAAACAAAACGATAATTGAAAAATGCATCGAGTGATGCGCAAAGATGAAATAAAAACTTAAAGCCCTAAGGAAACATCAAAGCAAAAAGGAAAAACATCATAAAATTCAAAGAAAAATGTAAACTGTAAATGAGAAACACACAACGCTTAGCTGAGTAGTCGAGTCAAATCTCAGATTATGTCTTCCTTTGTGTGCTTATGTGAGTACCTGCACTACACCTGTGCGTTTATGTGTGTGTCTGTACATACATATAGAGAGAGAGAGAGAGCGAGTGGCTTCCGGTGAGACTGATTGCAGGCCTGTGTGAAAAGGAGTGACCGCGGAAGTGAATCGTCTTGGGTTCTAGGCAACAATGGGGTTTTGCCGGGAAAAGGAAATTTTGAATTTCTTCTTTTCTCTTTTATAATTTATAATTCATACTTATTTTTATTTGTGCTTTTAGAAAACTTATAATTACTCCAAATCAAAACACTACTGAATACTGTATTATAAAAACAAATTAATTAAATACTGTATTATAAAAAAAAATTAATTATTTCATTGTGATAATTTATAATCATTAATTAATTAATTATAATCAATTTCCTGATGACAAATCTAAAATACATGGTAAAGAGAAGGAGTACATCATCTACAGTTTTTAGTCTAACACAAAAAAAGTCACTTTTGACTTTTCCAATTCTCTCTGTAGCAGCGAACACCATTTCCCCATCCTCATCCTCTTCGAACCAACATCGATAACGCCCTCCCTTTCTTCGAACTATTCTCAGCGGCTCCTTCTCCAGCTCCGCCGTCGCAGCCATCTCCATATTCCTGCCGCTTTTTCTTCTGCGGCGGCCCACTGTGTTCGCCTATTTACTGTCGTAATTTTATGTTCTTCTGCGAAGGTGATTACTAAAAAAAAAAAAACCAGTTAATTTGCTAATTGTGATAAATTAGCCATCAATGACGGTATGTCGAGTCAAAGATTTACGACTCCCGTTGATGAATGTGGTTAGATTCAGAGAAGTACCTATCTTGCAGCAACTTCGCTTGGAGGAAAGACTGCTTAGGACCTCCACAGATAATTGGTGCCTTATCAATGATGGAACGAGTGCTCCCACCATTGTCATGGGGATTTCAGGGTAATCTATAATACCTTTTTCATTCAATTGTTACTGGGAAATATTTTCACTGCAAAATTTGCTTTGGCTTATGATTTGGTTTTTGTAGTTAAATTATGAAGAAGGCAGCATGTTGATTATTCTCATAGTACTGGATTTTTCTAAACCAATAGTGTTTTGTATTTTGTATTCTTATGTTATTTTGGATATACAACTTCTAATCAAGAAGAGTGTTAGCCGGTTGAAATTCAATCTTGAATGTTAATCTGGTTTTGATTTATGGCCTGGTTAAATTCAATTCCTATTTCTTTACCACTAAATTGTAATGATCATATATGATAGTTTATTCCAGTGCCATACCTTTCCAGCTCTTTATGTTTGAAATATCGTGGCTATATTTTGTCAATGACATGCATATTTATATTTCTATGCATATATAGGAAACCTTCTGAACTTCTTGAACTTGGGAGTGTATTGAAAGATCAAGTTCCGGTCATTAGAAGATTTACAGGGGGAGGCACTGTTATTGTTGACAAGGATACTGTTTTTGTCACTTTCATTTGTAACAAGGATGATGTTCCTGGCGTACAACCTTATCCTCGATCAATAATGTCTTGGAGTGGTTTGTTATACAGTCAAATGTTTCAAGGGATTGGTGATTTTCAACTTCGTGAGAATGGTATTTTGGTAGAATTTTTCATAGAGGAAAACTTCTTATGTTTATGCAACCATGTTTCCGAAATGTTACTATCTTGTGTAACCTTGTATAAAAGAAGTTTTCTTTTGGAAGAAACAAACTTGAAAACAAAAATAATATGGAGTTGATTATAGATCAAAGTTTAGTTAAGAATGTTGTAGCAGTTTTTGTTCTTCCTATTGGAAGTTACTTGCAAAGAAAACAAGTCATGTTTGACTCTTATCCATGTTGGATTGGCTATTAGTAGTTTGTTAACAGTCTCATATGCTCAGCATTTGATACAATTTTTTTTCTTTCCTTAGATTATGTATTCGGTGATCGTAAGTTTGGTGGAAATGCTCAATCAATAACCAAAAGCCGATGGTTACACCACACCTCTTTTTTATGGGATTATGAAGTTGGAAACATGGGCTATCTGAAGTTACCTGTTCGGGCTCCTAAGTATCGGTTGGTAAGATTTCATTTACTCTTCTGTTCTGTTGTCTCCTTAAATGAAGTTGTCATTGAACATTGGCTACAGTATACAGTCCGTATAACTTGTTCTTAAACTAATTCTCTGGTTTCCTTAGTACCACTAAGTTCTATGCTAAATCCTCTCGGAACTGAAACTTAGAAAAAATTAGGGCAAGTCTTAGATTGTGTTTTAACTTTTGTTTATCCTTGCTAGTGCCAGCAAATGAACTCCAGGCATCTTGTCATCAATTGTCTTGGCTGTTCTATGTTGGAATGCCTATTGCTAGTAGTAGCTTGGATGTAAGACATGTCGCATTTTACACAAAGAAACAGATTTGTTGCTCTAAAAGTGCCTGATACACACCACTGGAAATTTTCACTCCTATGATCCACCTGTAGAATTTCATGGCATAACGCAATGGTCACTGGAATGGTTATTGGTGGTCTTTAGGCTTCTTGGTCTTAGTCGCCTATGCATTTTATTTTGCTGGTATATTTTCTGGTATTCCAGTTTCTGGAATTTTTATGGTTCATCATACTTCTGGATGTATGTAGAACATATATAAAACTTTATGTTCATCTTAGATAAATACCAGTTCACACAGAAATATATTTTCATGTATAAACAGTTCCAGATCTCCTACTAGATCTCCTACTTTCTTATTAATTGCCTTTAATAATTTGTGGGTATCCTCAATTCATGGCATTATCTGTTCCTGGGGGAAAAATGAGTTACAATATATCACGTGCTTTGCTTGGCTAAGATTTGAAGTCCATGGTTCCGACCTTCATGCAGGAAAGGAGACACATGGATTTTATATGTCGAATGAAAGAATATTTGCCAAGATCAGTTTTTGTTGAGAAAATTGTTAAAGCAGCAGAAACTTATTTTGCAGTAAGGCCAGTGAAGTTGGAATCGGTTGATGAAGATTGTGGATCGGAAAATTTTATTCCGTCCACCAAGCTGCTAATGAAGCAGGAACTTACGGAAGCTTGGGCATCTTGTCCTGAGAACATTGCTTCTAGTGGCTAAGGGCTTGATGACAATAAAACTGTTTGTTGGTCTGGAGATGGAAAGCTTTCGAGTTTCCGCAAGGTTTATGAAGTTTACTTAAAATTATTTTATTTTTAGAGACTATATAATTGTTCTTCCATTCTTGCATATCAAATGAGTTAATATTAGGTTCAGTTTGGTTCAATTTTCATTCGTATGTAGTCTTAGAATATTAATATTTATAATAGATATAAAAAAAAAAAAGAAAAATTGTGAAAAATAAAATGGGAATTGAACTAAATAGGTCGATTAAGTATCATAATGTTTTAATTTGGAAAGAGAAGTTTATTATTCAACATTCTGATTATAATTTATGAAGGCAAAACGAAGAATGGTGTTTGCTAGATACTAATCGCTTCTCTGAAGATGACAACTGTCCTGTGTTCATCAGTTTTGTCTTTAGTACATTTTTTTTTTTTTTTTTAATTAATAATGAGTTTTATATTTTTTGTTAAATTAACAATGGAGTAAACTAGCTGTTTTTTTCAAATCTAATTAACAATCAAAATTATAAAACACGAATTAGGGCACACTTTAGCTAGTGCTTATGAAATGTCATTCGGATATGGTAAAACTTTGCTGCCATGAATATACACTTGTTATGTGTTTGCAGTTTAAATATATTTTTTTCTGTTATTTTACCTAATGTCTTTCAAATATAGCTTTTAACTTTTTCATTCTTGATATTTTTATAAACCTAACGTATTATTCTACTAGTAAGACAATAATAATACAGTTTAAATCATGTACTGAGTCGAGTCGATTACTAGTTAAATAAAACTTATCAATTGATATTAAAAGTTCAAAACAAGAAAATATAAAATAAGCATTATTATTGAAAAATGCAATCTCCAAGACTCAAACCCATTAAATTAAAAACCCAATCCAATTTACTTTAATTCATCGCTCACAGGTCCAAGAATCCCCGACTAATAAATTCAAGCCCAACTCCATTGTTGATTTCCTTTTCAGCCCACAACCTTAAACCCTAATGCATCGCCTAAATCCTTCTCTGGTGCGGGAAGCTTCGTTCGCCCTTCTCTCAGAACCTCACCTCCTTCTCAAGCACCATCGCTGAAAAGGAAATTTTCCTGAAGAGTAACCGGCAGCTTCACGGTCAACGGTTTCAGGATCCTCTTTGGACAGGTCGAAGTCTCGTCCATTTTACTTTATTTACACATTCTGCTTCCCCTTTTCCAGTTTATAGTGTTTCATTTCTTGGGTGCTAAATTGTTTCATTTACCATGGGTTCTAGTTTATTATTTACTGCAAGGTGCTTAAATAGGGACATCTAATGTTGGTTTTGAGTTTGTGTTGAACCTTGTTAATAGAGTCCATCTTTGATTTGGGTAAGCAGCTTGCATATGCTTAATCTGCTAATTATGTTAGTTTTACATCTTTTGCTTGCATATGTAATCATCTTTAGCTTTGGTGCCCTACTAGTTACAATTTATGGACCATGGTCTATGGACTTTTGGGTATCTGCTGGGTGATGGCGGGTTCCGTCAAAGATGAACTATATGCTTGGGAACTGGTGTGCAGGAGGAATCAGAACTTCAGACTCATTCCCCTCACCATTTTCTGGGTCATTTGGAAAGAAAGAAACAATAGAACTTTTGAAGACAAAGAAGATATTTTTGGCAACATTAAGAGTAGATGGTTTCACTATTTTGGTTCCATTGTTCTGGGATATGACCTCGTTAACCTTGATGATTTTGGTTCAATTGTAGATATGCTTATTGACTTATAAATCTTTTGTATATGGGTGGCGCCCCATTGGCATCTTTTCTTTTCTACATTCATTCCTTTAGTACAATGGCTTGCTACTGTTTGATGGTTTCTAAATTATCATTGTTGTAACTTGACATATTTTTTATTTCTCTTGCAATTTGTTTGCTATATGAGCATCTAAATTGGACGTATTCACTGTTCAGGGACATGAATTTCAACAATGTTAAAGTTCCCAAGGTGCCAGGTGGTGGTGCCGCTTCTGCTTTAATTAAGTTGGGAATT